GGCGGGGGCGGGAGGGGGGGGGGAGGGGGGGGGGGGGGGTGGTGGTGGCTCTGAGTGGTGTGTAAAACTACTAAAGAGCAAGCACATCTAACTGATTTTCATCCTCTCTCTCTCTCCTTCTCTGTAGGGTGTCATCCATCGAGACATCAAATCGGATTCCATACTTCTGGCTGCCGATGGCCGGGTGAAGCTGTCAGACTTTGGATTCTGTGCTCAGGTGTCGCAAGAGCTGCCCAAACGCAAATCGTTGGTGGGCACACCGTATTGGATGTCGCCGGAGGTGATTTCACGCCTGCCGTATGGTCCCGAGGTGGACATCTGGTCGCTGGGCATTATGGTCATTGAAATGGTGGACGGTGAACCGCCATTCTTTAATGAGCCGCCGCTACAGGCGATGCGTCGCATACGGGACATGCAGCCACCGAATCTGAAGAACGCCCACAAGGTATCGCCACGTCTGCAATCGTTCCTCGATCGAATGCTGGTGCGAGATCCCGCACAGCGTGCCACCGCCGCCGAACTGCTGGCCCATCCATTCCTGCGCCAGGCGGGGCCACCCTCACTGCTGGTCCCACTTATGCGCAATGCGCGACATCACTCATAGAACGGGTTCGGAATAGATAGATGGGTGGGGGATGATATACCAGCTCGTGACGCAACACAGACAACGGCCATCGATCCATCGAACCATCTATCGCAACGATCCAACGATTGCGGCAACCAGCCGAGTCTTTTAGTATTAAACAGTTTTAAGTTTGGCATCTGTACTTAGACCCTTAGAGTCTCCCCTTACCCTCACACCTGCTCGAAATATCTTGTAAAGAAATCAAAGCCATTCCCACATTTAAATGCATCGTTTTGTCCTACCCCCCATACATTCCGGAGGATATCCTTTTTTGGGCTGACGGATCCAAGCAATGTGCCTTTCACACACACAGAAACAGATTCCGAATGGTATCGAATTGTGCCTGTCCCCATCGTTTACATATTTATATGCGCCGCCCTCTGATCAATCGTATTTGATAATCTATTATCATTATTATTATTTTTTATAAATGTTTGTACGTACTCTATGCATTTGATTGCTCTCTCGTGTGTACCACCTCTCAGCCAGCGCCTTTTATTAAGGCAAATGAGAGGAGGGAGTGACGAATTCCGTTCTTGTCAGTGTGTGTATGATTTTTTTTACAAATCCGTAAACATTGTTCGAATATATTCTACTTATAAGCAATTAGTTAACATTTACATGTATTTTTATTAAAACAAAAAAAAAAAACGAAACGAAAAAGCAAAGCCCTAACCCTAAGAAATGCAAAAAAAAAACAACGAAACAATGGATCAGAAAGGGAGAGAGAGACATAAATAAAAGCATAGAAACGAGAGAGAACGAGCGAAAGGAAGAAAAACCATAAGTATAGAGAAGATAAAGAGGGAGAGATAATATATCGACGAATACATAATAATAGTAATAATAATTGTGTTAACAAAGTCAACAATAATCCACAGCCGGGCAGCGTGCAGCATTCGCACCCAAAATAATTCGCGAAAAGAAGCAAGCCAGCAACAAAATACGTTCCATTCCATTTTAAATACGTTTTAGAATCGTAGATGATTCTCTGTACTCTTCTGTTCTGTTCTGGATTTCACCTGTGTAATTATTAATGAATAAACATAAACCATACAGAATTACCTTTTTTCTGGCCACCAGCTGATGAGCATCTTAAAGCAGGGAAAGCAGTGGGCAGTGGCACTCCAACTCTACTCAAGCAGTATCTATGCAGTGGCCGGTGCACATGGTTATCCATTGCTGACAAGTGAAGTCTGGATCCTGAAGAATATTTAGGCGGCAACGTTACCTCTGTTCTCCGCCCTTCAATATGTACTGGTTTTTAGAGCTACTCTCGTCACCGAACATCGAACACCCCATCGAGCAGTGGCTCATTGCTCGCTTATGCAGGCTTTTCTATTGCCCATTGCCATCTATTGTTGCGTGTCAATGAGGATTTAAATCCCAAGGTGGAAGGCAGTGCTAATGGCCAGTCGATGGATATCTTTCTGTCTTTGCCAAAGGCCTCATGTAAACCAGCCATTTTTCCAAGGCTGAGCGGTAAAACCAAAGACAAAAGCACAGAGCAAATACAAGACAAATGGTGGGGTCAGCTTTGGGCAGAGTTTTCTGTTCCTGTGGCTGCACTTTGTGGGGTTCTATGCACAGGAGGAGAAGAACTGTAATATTGAGTCTGCCGATCCCACATCTCATATAATTTCTAGGCATTGAACAGATCATCATCCCAATGCCACATCATCCCAACTTTCGAGGCAACGTCACGGCGATCTATGCTCGGTAAGTGGCATAAACATATCTAGATATGTATGTCTTTATGGTGGAGCTTATTGTTCATCTTCTCTTCAGGCGCCGCAGTTGTAAAGATTCAGGAACAGCTTGGAACACTAGTGGCCTTTCCCACAGTCCGGAAGGCGTGCGTCGCCTGACAACCGGCTAAGCCTTTCAGCTTGACTTCTGCATTGATAACCGACTGGCAGAGCCCCTAGAGAACACTCTGCACAAAGACTATGGGCGTCAGCATATTCGATGACATCTTCTGCAGCTTAGGTGTTCACCTTTCTTCTTTGGTGTCTCACAAATCTAGCGGCGAACTGGAAACTGGAACTCTATGCTGTGTGCTGATGCTGATCTTCTACCACTGATTGCGGGTGCCGCAGTTCTCCACTTCTACGAGTATACGGTCAGTGTACAGCTCGGCAAACGATCCACAGCAGCTAACAGACTGCTTCAGCCCAAGGGTGTATCTCGTATGGACTGCATCCGAGGCACCCAAGCACCGAGAGATACAGAAAGAAACAGCGATAAATTCGTGTTATTACCCAGATACCCGAATTAAGTAAAACTCCACTCTCCCCACTAATATTTATTCTAATAGGAATTTCTTAGCTCGTCCCCCCAAGCTAGTAGTTAGTCAATGGCCAGAAATTGAGTAGCAATTGGCAGCATTTATAGCGATAAATTGAAAACACCTTGGGATTAAGCCCTTTGAACCTTACATTCTCAATGCTCAAGACAACGATAAAAGAGTTTTGTTTCTCGCAGTATTTATTTCGATCATTGCTTGAATTATTTTAATAATAATAATAATTAATAATCGTTATGGAATCTCTGCTGCTACTGACTACTCTGTCCTCCGAGATTCTTTATCTCTTCGAGCCACGTCCCTTTCGAAGATATTCTAAGACAACCAAAGCAACAAAATAAATTAATTTTAGTTGGGTTAAACGAGTGATGGTTGATACAAATTACTTACTTTACTTAATCGGTGGCCTCATTTTCCGTTTCCTTGTCAGTATCAGTCCTCTCTTGGCTTTCGAGACAGCGCTGCGAATGGCGGGCACTGTGGTCGAGCTTTGAGCTTGGCGGCGAGATCCTCCGAGTCCGAGTCCGTGTCTGAGTCTGTGTCCGCGTCAGGGTCTGTGTCCGAGTCAAATTCCGATTTAGAGCTCAAAGTGAGCTTGAGCCAAGCGAGCGGTTTGCCAGTTGGCCCTTGCAAACTCAACTGAATGTGCTTGTTGCGTGCTGGCACATTCGGCACCGGTGCGTTGGGTATTTGAGCGTAGAGCATTTCAAACACGTTGCGCAGCTCCTGGGCCATGCCAACATAATCGTTATCCGGATCAAAGTACTTGAAGCAGTTGGAGAATACTAAGCGCACATCCTCCGCAAACTCAAGCACGCTGCTGTAGTGCCCGTCCTCCAATTTGCACTTGATGCTGCCCAGGTCCATGGGCTTCTTGATTTTGTGGTGATAATCGGTCAGACCCAGCTTTTCCGCATTCAACGGCTTGTAGAAGGGCCAGGCATAGTGGCAGTGCTTCTTGTCGAGCAGCTCTTTGATGATTTTCTTGCAGGCGTCCATTGGGAAGCTTCTTTTTACGTGTTGGCGTGTCCGAAGTTTTTTTTCTTTGATAATTGTCAAAGTTTGAACCACCATGCGACTCAAACGAACCGAACCGATCGGAGCCGAACCGAACTTTATTGGCAAACAGTGGCAGCACTATGTTTTTTAACCCTAGTAACCCCCCATGTTAATCATATGCGCGGTGAATATTACTTTTGCAGCAATCAAATTTGAATTTTTTTCTAGAATTAAGAGTAAGCGAAACAAAATCCTCTCACAAACCAAAATAACGACTACTTTCAAGTAGTAGATTATTGAAAAATCAAATTAAAATAAAAACCCTACACTTTTTTCTTGTAATGAATGGGCTTGCCATCATTGGGTTAATCATCACACGATATTTTCGTTTCACTCACACTTACTGCGCAGAACCCTCGCACCCTCACTCGCACTCACAAGCAGCATAAATAACACTACTCGACACGATTTGCCGCTTCGATCCAGAACAAATTTTTATGAAAGATATGGGCCTTAGAAATGGTTTGATAATAATTTGTTTTTCTATTTTTTTTTCTCTCTCTCTTTATATTTACAATCTGTTTGTTTAAACAATAATTAAATTGTATAATTAATATTCAATTAACAGAAATAGCAGTTTTCCAATGAATCTTTTCAGTTTGTTGAATTTATCTATCTGGGAGATCGAGAATGTGGTATCTTGTATCGATGTATTTCTTACTAGTTTTCTTTATTTCTTCTTTAATTGTTGGAATATTCACATCTTTGTGGATATTTGCATTAGATACGTAAAACGGAGCATTGCGAATGTGTCGCAAAGTTTTTGATTGGGAACAGAATAATAGAATAGAATAATAGAATTTACAAAATTTAAGTTTAATTAATTTAAAAAAAGACTGTGCTTTAGGCTTCGATTGCAGCCTAAGAAATATTAATTGCCCTCTTAGCGGTTCTACACTGTAGGCTGTGGCGCCTGCGCAGAGGTTATGGCAAGGTTACATCAAGTTGATGGCAAAGTTACATCAAGGTTGTGGGGATGTTACGTAGGTTTTATGGTTTTTCCAAAATGAGTGCAACTAGCTGCTGGGGCCGGGACTCCACCGAGTTGGATAAACGAAAAGAATAATTTTTCTGGAGGATCGAGCCGTTTAAATGCGATCAGAAGAGCTAAAAACATGTTCTAAAAGCTTATTTTGCGATAATATCATTCACTGCTTTTAATTATTTGTGTTCAGCTACAACCACCAGAGCCACTACAAAGAGGTTTATCATTCAATTTCGATGACCGTTCAGCACAATAATGTAATTATCATTGTGTTAATATTGAAATTAGACAAAAGTTCTTCTCTTACTGAAACTCTAAAGACTAAAGACTACAATTTTCACCTAATTTGGATGTTTTTTTTCTCTCTTGATCAGAATTTTACAGGGATCGCATGAGGATAGCTTTTACGTAAAGGATATGAGTCCTGTCAACAATTTGAAGATGTTAAACCATTACATAATTGCATCAAACAGGCCTCGTTATTTTAATGTCCTGAAGGACATTACCAAGCAATTCCAAAAAAGTTTTCCACAAACATCGTTTAAACGGGCCTTATTTTTGGGGTATTTACACAAAATAATTCACAAAAAAGAACCTTGTAAGTTAGAAGTCAAATTCTTTACTTTTTAAATAAGGAAAAGAGCCTTGATTAATGGATTAAGTGCCCTCCCTCATAGGGAGAATTGGAAGGGCCGAGACAAATGCAGTGCCAGTGGGTTATATCGTCTTCAACGATCTCCACATGGCAACCGTCCGTTGGATTGAGCATTATTTCTTTTAGCTCACGGACAAGACGTCCCTTGGGGCCACCGCCCCGTGGCCGTTGTACGGCGCTACTAGTAGCATTTCGGATAGCGGTGGCAGCACGCCGATTCCTTATGCGGTGGGTTGCATGACGTTGTACGGCGCTACTAGCAGCATTTGGGGTGTCGGTGGCAGCACGCCACTTCCTTATGCGGTGGGTTGCAGTACGCTGGACGGCGCTACTAGTTTCATTCCGGGTGGCGGCGGAAGCCCTGGCAGCAAGCTCAATCCTTATGCTTCGTCGCAAAGACATGGTCTAAAAGACTGTCAAAACTTCAGAAAAACTTGTATATTTCCAAGCATCTCGCTTACCTTTAGGTTTTGTACGCACAGATTTTTGAAATTTTCGATGTGTTTTTATTAAGTTTTTTCTTAACTGTTTAACACTTTGAATGTGAGT